TATATATATATATATATATATATATGAAACTTATAATTCTTTTTATCACTCGGCCATCAAAATAATTATTATATTAATATATTATTTTATTTAATCAATATTAATATCAATACAAATGATATAATCAATTGAAATTTATTTTAAAATTTATTTATTTTAATGGTAATATCCATATATTATAAAGTTGTGTGTGATATATATATATATATATATATATATATATATATATATATATATATAGCAAAATTTATTAACTCTATAGATCATTCATTAAATTACACTATACATCATTCATTAAATTAATAAAAATTGAATGTAATGACTAAATTTCTTTTATTTATATACTCTAAGTGTTTTCCATCGATGACCATAATTAATGGAATTAGTATCTATAAAAATGAAATAATAATATCATGAAAATATTCATTGTAGGGTCTTGAATGTATCTTTTTAAAATATATATTTTCTAATTTTTATTATTATAATGTTTTATCCCTTTTTATTTTACTTTAATGTTTAGAAAATGAGCATATGTGTTTTTGAGGGAGTGCAAGGGCAAAATCATCATAGTGAACATACTGTTGAATACAAAGAAACACAAGATCAAATAAACGAACACTTTTTTAATATTGTTCCATCATAGCTTCTAAACATTGGATACTATTTTTTCAATAGTAACGAGCTTTGGATAAAGTTATCTAAAAAGTAAAACAGGACTTAAAGATGATATTATGCTAGTTGATATGGGAAAACAAATTATTGAAACTGAAAGTATCCCATCGTTCAAATAAAGATTTCCTCTTACAAGCATAGGCATTACCAACATTTTAAAGTGCAACGACAAAATGGCGTTGTTTTCACCGGTGGTGGCGCTGGTGGTTGTTGGTCCAGTCCGCGGTGGTTGTAGGGGTGGAGGTTCTCGGCCTTTTGGCTCTCTTCCCCATTATCGTCTTGGGGTTGGCCGGTAGGTTACACCAGTATGCGGGGATCAGTGGCTCTAGTGAGTCATCGGCTTTTGGTTGCCGGTTAGTAGGTGTATTTAGACTTTAGAGCTGGTCTCCGGCTTTGGTCTAGGGGTAGTTTCCTGGGCAAGGGTTTGTGCAGTTGGCTTTTTACTGTAGTTTCTTGTTCGGAGTTTTGGTCTGGGGCCATGTCCGCTTTGGGAGGTTGCCATCGGGTTCAGCTTTGTGGTTGTGCGGTGTCGCTTGTCGCCTGCGGAGAAGAGCTTTAATTTAGTATTTTTCTTTTTTAGTTGGTTTGTCGTTCTTGTGTGTTGTTTGTTGCGTGTGTTTGTGTTTTATTCATCTCCTTGTTTTGGAGCTGTGTATTCTCCCTTTGGGGAATTTTGTATAGAGCTTTCTTTAGTTTCTTTTGTGTTAGTTTGTGATATTTAAACTACCTTAGATAGGCCTCACTTCTCCTGGCTAGTTAGTCAGGTGAACGACGTGTTTGCGTTGATAAATCTATCGTCACGAAAAA